GGGGGGGGGGGGGGGGGGGGGTGATCCTTAGAACAAGGATTTAAGTCTATATTCTGCCATAGTTGCGTGGCAGACCCCCAGTGGTATACCCTAAACACTAAGCCTTACCTAAAACCCTGCAAGAAGTCTTCGGGTCTCAAGATTAAACCCAAAGCTGCGATGGGAAAGTTGCAGTTCCTGGCCGGTGAAGGCTGGGATCGGCTATATAGGGGCATTAACTATGAGAATAGGGCTTTTAGTATATTATATGTAGTCTGACTCTAATTCTAAAGAGCAATCCTAATAAGGAACACTACCAGTAATTTCTCCGACTAATATTATGTTCAGGGGTGCAGGGTGGGTTTTAGGGCTTGGGGTTTGGGGTGTAAGGTTTGGGGTTTTGGCTTTAGGGCCAGTTCAGGGTTTGGGGTTCGGCTGTTGGGGTTTAGGGCCATGGATAGGCTGCGTTTTAGAACATGGATGTTGCGGACTTGTTGCCAGATCACCTGGCGGCAAGGAACTGGTGCAAATAGCTTTTCCAGTCTCCACCAATGCATCGTCGCTGCAGCGTGCTGTTCATTTCATACGCCGCAGTATTTAAATTTATATCTGTTGCAGGAGGAGAAGTGTTAAAAACCTAGTTGAATCGCTCGGGGGCATTGGCTATTCGACACAGAGCACCAGCGTCCACGGGCAGTGTGTGTCCAGTAATGTACCGAGCCTGGTCACTCAACAGAAAGGAACACGCATCAGCCACGTCCCTTGCTTGCGGAAGAGCAGGAATTGCATGGTAACCCGTCAAAGCGCTGTGGGTGAGAACCGGATCAGGGCTCTGTTCGATGAAGTTCATTACCATGGGTGTTTCACACCCAGCGGGTGCGATAGCATTGACGCGAATGTTGTTGTTGCCGTACTCGACAGCGGCTGCACGTGTTATGCCGCGTATTGCAAACTTCGCAGCCGTGTAGGGGCCCAAATTGATAAGACCGCGGAATCCAGCAGTGGAAGACATGTTGACAATGCTGCCGCCAGTCTCTTGTTGGACCATTTGCTTCAGTCCGTACTTAAGGCCATAGAAGACGCCGTTCAGATTGATGTCGATGATTCGCCTCCATTCCTCAATGTCATAATCCCCAAGCAAGACTTGAGATCCAACAACTCCAGCATTGTTCACGAGGGCATCGAGACTACCATAAGCTGCGACGACATGCGCAACGGCAGCTTGTACTTGCTTGGGATCAGTTACCTACTTCATGCTTGCGATCGTAATAAACATTCAATTTTCTATTCCTTTTTGAGATTAAGTACCCACGAACACGTAAAATGTTACCCAACAGTGACAGTTACATCGGTCTTTATGAACTTGCCTTTGATCTCGTCGGCGAGTGGCTGCCCATCCTGCACGTCCGCAATGACAACCTTGTACCCATCATCAGCGAGTCGACGAGCAATGGCTTCTCCCAGCCCCTGCACTCCTCCCGTGACCAGTGCAGACTTTTGGCGGTACACAGAGCTGGCAAAAGATCGGGTGGCTGCCATGCGAAGGGTTGACTGAAACATGACAGATGCTTCTGTCTGCTACGTATTCGCTCGAGTAAAGCTCGATGTACTACTGGACAAGTTTTGCACTGGCGCGTTGTCTGCGCTGATTCAACGACAGGTGTATCCAAGTGTCCAAGCTAGGGAAAGATCTTTGGCGTGAGCAGCATGCACGCTCTCCCCGCACTGGAGTAGCATGAGCCAGCCCCCAAACTCTGGACCATAAACCCACTGCCAGGAAATAACAGGCGGCTGACGGGATTAACCAATGGATGCGACCCCGTAAAGCGGTGAGGGTTAACTATCTACAGGGCTCAGGCCGACCCTCAACTCCTAAACCCTAAGTTTCATCATTCAAAACCCTGAAGCCCCAAGCGCCTAAACTGAACTACTGACTTCAAGAGACTTGGGATTTCGAAGTCGTGAGATGTTCAAGGTGCACCACCGGCATAACAATAAGCCGTGAGCCCGAATGGCTGGATCTGCGCACTGCCCAGACCGACAAAACTGTAAGGGAGCATAAGGCTCGGATCCTGATAGTGGAGGTCGAAAGCAGCTTTTGATACATGTGCCTTGAAACTTCGGGGGCACCCCCCACCCTTACGTCTTGAGAGAAGGAACACGTTAAGTCGGAAGATATGTCTCCGAGCACCTGTGCAGTGCAGACCACTGGCAGATTACTGGTGCGTATGATACAGGAGCCTTAGTAGTTACAATCGGGGATTTCGGGGAATATACCGGAAGTATCAGAGGAACCCCAAGGAGTAGTGTTGGGGCTTTTATGTGTGTGTTGTGTTGTTCCAAACCCTAACCCCTAAACCCTAAACTCCTAAACCCTAAAACCCTAAACGCCCATATACCCTAAATCCTAAAAACTCCAAACGCTAAACCCTAGACCATCGTACTTGTCCACAGCATTCCAAGCATCCATTCAGAAGCCCCCGAGGACCCACAAAGCGCGAAACCTGGACCCAGGACAAGAGTCCACCTAACAGAAATACCAAATAGGAAGAGCGACAATAAGAAAAAGATGAAGAGCATTAATAATACTAATAATAATAATAATAATATTAATGATAATAATACTAATAATACTAATAATAATAATAATGGTAATAATAATTATAATAATAACAATACTAATAATAATACTAATAACAATAAATAATAATAATAAATATTGATGATGATAATACTAATACTAATAATAATAAAAAATAATAACAGTAATAATAACACTAACGATAACAATTCCAGTAATCACACCACTAATACTACTACGAAATCTTCACAATAATAACCATAAACAAAATAATAACAATAGTAATAGTCATAATATATATTGCTATACATTTATATGTATATATGTATATATGCATATGTGTGTGTGTGTGTATACATATAATATATATATATATACATATATGTATATATATATATACACACACACACATGGGGGCCTCAAGACGGAGAATAGGGTTTTGCGGTGATTGTCTTGTGGCCCTGTCCAAGGCTGCGGCTTGGGCAGCTGAAGTGCTCGGGCACACGGCCTGCAACAAATAACAATAATCTACGGCTTCTGTGGTTTAAGAACCTTAGAGAACCTCTGCAGGTTTGCCACGTATGGTTCAGGACCAGTTCTATACATGATCCTAAACCCTAAACCCCTAAATCCTAAACCCTAAATCCTAAATCCTAAATCCTAAACCCTAAACCCCTAAATCCTAAACCCTAAACCCTAAGCCTCTAAATCCTAAACTCTAAACCCTAAACCCAAAAACAAGGAACGACGATGGAGACCACGGGTTCCCCTAAGAAAGCCCGGAAACAACCAGGCCCTTAGTGACCTAGTGGTTTAGGGTTTAGGGTTTAGGGTTTAGGGTTCAAGGACTCTTGAGTTTAGGGTGTATAAGGGTTTAGGGTTTATGGTGTAGAAGGGTTTAGGGTTTAGGGTGTTTTAGGGTTTAGGGTGTGAAAGGGTTAAAGGGTTTAGGGCAAAGTTTAGGGTTTAAAAGAGTTTAGGGTTTTGGGTGTATAAGGGTTTGGGGTTTTAGGTTTAGGGTGTATAAGGGTTTAGGGTTTAGGGTTTTTCAGGGTTTGGGTTTAGGGTTCAGGGCCCGCTCATGTATCACAGCAACCCAAAACTGAAGGCGGATTCCCATCAGACAAAGCATCCAAGCGCAAAAAGACGAAAAACCCAAACCACACCCCGAAAGGCCGATTTGCAACGAACAAAACCTTGTTTAGGGTTTAGGGTTTAGGGACTATTCGAAACCTTGTTTAGCGCTGAACTAGGGTTCATAGGGCTTTTACTTTACATTGTCATATGGCTTAGGGGTTCAGGGTTTCAAGGGTTTAGCATTCCTAGGACTGGCACACCACCATGGCCATAATCATTCACAGCACTGCTTGCTGTGGTGTTGCTACCGTAAGACCTTACACTAGTCTTGCTCGGATTATACAGAGACTACCCTGGTGACTGCTGCTTCGTGCAAACAACAATTCGCAACATAAACATCATCACGGCTAGTGTTGGATATTGTAGTACTGACTTCCCCTGTCATCATGTACCTTCGCAGTTCGACTTATACGTTGCGTCGTTTATTGTTGGAGCCGTTGTGTTGGCTACCACTAGTTGTGCGGCTGTCCTGACTCACCTCTTTCAGAGATATCGTGCGCGGTATTGCCTTGCATCGTATCGAATTCGTACTCCTATTCATAGTTGTGTTTGTGTTCGTAGTGGTTGCAGAATCTGTAGTGTCTCTAGCATTGGCAGTAGTTGTGTTTTTGTACCACTTGCAGAATTCGTATCGCACTTGGTATGTTTAGCAGGTGTATTTCTATGTTGTAGTCGCATTCCTATTCGGTTATGCGCTTGTGTGCGGGTGTACTTGTATTTGTAGTGTGCTGCACCGCACTGAGAGTACTGACAGGCTACGTTCTCCGAGTACTGCCTATTGTTTATACTACATGATTCTGTATCTACTTAGCATAGGCTTTCTATGTCATGTGTAAGAACAGCGTAAAGACACGTATAATCTAAACCCAGCCGCAATACTACAGTATACGGTGGTGTCGTTTATTGTCTTGTAGAATACTATGTACCCTGCTGTGATCTATGGTGTGAAATTTTGCCATGCACCATGTGATGTGGTCTGGAGCGTTCTGAACTATTGCACCATGCTAAATCTCGTAAGAGTAGAATTGGTGCAGCTAGCTACAAACCATGTATGATTGTAAATAACCTATATTATAGATATGTGAACTGTAAAGAGAGGGAACGAGAGAAAGAGTCAGAGAGAGAGGAGAAGAAAAGAGAGGAACTCAAAAGAGACCATGAGATGAGAGAAGAGAAGGTAAGAGAAGGGAAGGAGGAAGAGAAGAGAAGGGAAGACAAGAGCAGCGAAGAGGGGACAGGAGAAGAGAAGCGAAGAGAGGAGAGGAAAAGGGAAGAGAAGAGAAGAGACGAGAAGATAATAGACGAGAAGGGGAGAGAGTGAGAGAGAGAGAGAAGGGGAGAGGGAGAGCGTGACTCGTTGTTGATCGCCATGAAGCCCGCTCCCTCACCCCTCCCAAACCACCTAAGGGACATGAGCCCCCAGCCCAGGCAGAGATGAGGATGGCATGCAAAGCTATGAGCTGGCTGAGAAGGAGCAGCATCTGAAGCACCTCAGTTTACTATGGTATAGGGCTTAGGGTTAGGACTCAGGGTTTATTCGGGTTTAGGGTTTAGGTTCGCAGCAGGGGAAGCTGAATTTCGAGACTTGCCTGGGTCGTGACTTCGGATTGCAGGTCCGTAGTAGGTTGAGTCCGATTCGGGGTGGGTGCGGGGGGGGGGGGGTTCGGGGTTGATAATGTAGGGGCCTTAATAATTAGAACAGGGTTTTGGGGTTTATTATACTGTAATTGTAATCTTGAACCCCTCCAAATTAGTATAGGTAAGTATGAAGGCCCTTATACTTTAGGAGTCTGGGGTTTAGGATTTACTCTGTCGGGCCAGCGCCCAGAGGTTGAGAGGGCTGTGGGCTTGAAAGGAAGGGCACGGCTCTGTGAGACACACTGAGGCTATGGGTTTAGGGTTTAGGGTTTAGGGTTTAGGGAGCAAAAAGCCTCGCTGCAGCGATGCAACCGCTCATAGCGAGGACGATGAGAATGAAGGATAACTGGCTGTGAAGAAGAAGATGATAATCATGGTGAGCGTGATGACGACGAGGTAGGCAGGAGGAGGAGGAGCAGGAAGAGGTCTGCCATTTCCACGTTTCTGCTCAAGTAAGCTGCACTTCATCGTACGCCCAAGCCGCTGCTAGAAATCAGATCACTTAATGTTCGACAACTCATACAGCTGTAGCACCGTCAATCATAAAGATGCCAGCACGACACTTCATCACGAGAGTCTCTCGGATCTACTTCTGCTGGCTGTGGTAGTTATCGTGAAACCTTTCCCAAAAACCCTAAACCCTAAACCCAGGTTGGCGGGAGCTATGGAAGACTTCACGAAGTCGATTTTGGCCACATCGGAGACTGCTACTGCAGCTGATGTTCACTACCTCAATATTTGATTGAGCAAGATTGAACATTGCCATCCCTATAGTTGCTCGTTCGACTTCTTGCTGGTGGAGACGCCATAAACAGTGAACCGTGTATTTGCCATGACAGCATCTTACCGGGCCCTGCGCAGTCAGCATCGGCAGGCCTCCGCAAAATCCGTTCGGCGCACGCAGATTTGAAGTTCTTGGGTTTAGGGTTCCGGGGTTTGCGGTTTAGGGCTTTAGGGTCTGGGGTTTAGGGCTTTAGGGTTTAGGGCTTAGGGGTGCGAGTCTTAGTATGGGGCTTACAGAGCTGGAGTTCATGGACTCTACCCTAAACCCTAAACCCTAACCCCTAAACCCTAAACCCTAAACCCTAAACTCTAGCCCAATGCCATTTTCCGATCTTCAAAAGTCTTTGCACAAATTGGGTTTAGGGCTCGGGAGATCTTTACCTGTAAGTCCCCCTAACCCCTAAACCCGACTAGTTCATGGTTGGGGTAGTATTAAAAAATTAAACTTATATTCCTTATTGGGTTTAAGTACCCTTAAAATGTAAAATGTTACCCAACCATGACAACCCTAAAGCAACCCCGAAGGCCTAAAACTGAAGCCCTTACTGTAATTGACTACGCTCGACGCCAGAACCGTCATACATGGTTTTAAAGATGTTTTTTAAGGTTTCTTTTGAAACGGGCCCTTTTCCGACTGCAGAACAGAAGTCCTTACCAGGCTGAGCCAACATGTCAGGTTTAGGGTTCGGGGTTTCAGGTTTGGGCAAGTTTGTGGGTTTTCGGGTTTAGGGCTTCCGCACGTTGCGAGAGGCAGTCCGACCGGGGCCAGAGGCTCATCCTTGGAAGCTACCCATAGGCCCCATAGTAGTTCCTTTTGGGGATTACGTCATAGGATTCTATATACGAACCCCAAAAAGGAACCACTATGGGGCCTATGGGTAAGGTACTAACCCTGCAAAACCCCTAAACGTATCGTGCTCCAGACACTGGCGCCATGGGTCTTATACAGGTTGATTATCCTCCAGCAAGCATACCCCAAAGGCTCCATGTACCCTTATAGTAGATACTTAGGCCTTAAATGGGGTCCCTATATAGGTACTTTAAGGCCTAAGTATCTACTATATGGGTACATGGAGCCTTTGGGAAAGTATGTAGACTGTCGAGTTCCTGGGGTCCGGGAAGGTAAGCGCTGACACAGATACTGATATGGGGGTTTCCTCAAATAGGGAACCCTAATATAGTACCCTAAATAGTAGGATCCTTATTATAAGGACCCTAAAACAAGGTACCCCTTAATTTCGGAAACTCCCACATCTCCACCGTCTCCTCACCTACATTTGCCAGGAAAGACAAGGTTTGGGCAATCTGGAGCAGAGAAACATGTAACGGTCTATCTTCTTGGCAAAGCAACATCAGTTCCAACAGTGCAAGATGATCTGATTACAATGATGCCCCCCCCCCCCCATTTCGCAGGCTTTTGACGATGCTCAAACTGTATGTCTATGCTATGCAAATAGAAATTCCGGATATACGGCGTGTGGTGCAGGATGGGTGCGGTGGATATCTGGAGAACCCCGAGCCCTAATATAGGGCTCGGATTCATTACAAAGAATATCTCCTGATGACCCCTCCACAATTCTGCATTACCACAGAACCTGATCCTTTGTCCCTCTTATAAGAAGGATCCCGAAACTGTCTATTTCTGTGCGCACTAGAACTGCAATGGCAGTAATCATCACATGATGGCGCCGCTACTCAGACTAGAACGACTGGAAACACAGCCCACCCGTAGCATCGGCATCAGTGCCGTCGCCACCACCATCATTAGCAACACTAAGCCTAATACCAACAAGACTACTTCTCGTAAACACAAACGTATCATGCGTTGCGACTCGCAGCAACTGATGAACAGCCTTGAAAAGAAAAATGTGTGCCAGCTTGAGCCAAAACAATAAGCATGACGGTGGCCATCATTATCCTCGGTAACGTTGAGTTAGGATTCTACACCATCCTGTACGTCCAAGGTTTGCAAAAAAAACTTTTACCCAACGGAACCTTTACTATAGAAGCCTATCCTAGCAATCCTTACAGAACCTGTTAAAGGAATCCTTACTAAAGCAACCCTGAAACCCTAAACTCCTAAACTCCTAAACCTAAAACCCCTAAACCCTAAACCCTAGTAGACCCTAAACCCTAAACCCTGGTAGACTCTGGTAGACCCGAAGAAAGCCCTTAAGCCCTAAACCCTAAGAAAGGAGGCACAGTATGCCGTGCCTCGACCCTGAATTCGCCTGCGAGAGATGCGGGAGCCTGGAGCCCACGGACCCAGGGTTTGCGGACTTCCGGGGCTTTATGGATCTAGGAGCTTTAAGGGTTTAGGGCTTGTAGGGGCCTTAATAAATACAACAGGGTGTTGGGGCCCAGTATACTATAACTATAATCGGGAACACCCCGAAATACTGTAGGTAATTATTTTGGCCCCTACATTAGGAGCCTGAAGGGGATGTAAAGGGCTTTGCGGGTTTGGAGGTTTAGCTCTAGGGCTTTGGCGTGTTGAGGGTTTGGGGCTAATGGTGAGCCCGGACCTCCGTGTCTGGGGCTTTTGGGCTTTAGGCTTCTAGGGTTTAGGGGTTTAGGGCCGTTTAGGGTGTTAGGGTTTAGGGTTTTAGGGTTTTGTAGACGGTTTGGGGTTTTTCAGGACTTTAAGGTGTTTGGGGGTTGTTTTGGGGTGTGGGATTCGCGGTCTTGGACTTAAGAGCTCAAGTCACACAGTGATTGTGGTTCCATTCGACCAACTTCGCTGTAATCCGACTCCATTAGTTACGTTCCACCCCTTCAGCAACCTGCACACATTCATGGCGCAAACACCTAAATTATTTTACTTCGAACATCCTCACCCTCACGGTTGTCTGTGGGGTTGGGCACTCCAGGGAGTCTCACGGTAGTCTGTTGGGGTTGGGCACTCCAGGAGGTAGTCTCAGCGGGCGAGGAGTAATAGCTGACTTCAAAATCTAATAACCCCACACCGAGGGTGGGGAAAAACTAATTCATTAGAACACGTGCAGGCACACACGCGAACATATATATGTATATACACACACGAGGTAGAGAGAGAGAGAGAGAGCGAACGAGAGACAAGAGAGGAGAAGAAGATAAGAGAGCAGAATAGCAGAGTAGCGAGAACATAATACAATAAGATAAAATTAAACATGTTCATAAGACAAGATGTTACAGGATGAGACATAACAGGACAAGAACGGATACAGTAGTTAGAGGTCAGACTAGATGAAGCAAGACAAACAATGCAAGCTATTACCTCCGACAGGACAAGATTCGATCGATGAGTGGAGAGACAGCGAGACAGACCAACAGGCAGGCCGGCAGATCGGCGAATAAATATCGAGCGAGCGAGCGAGGGAGCGAGGGATGGATGGTGGGTTTAGGGGTTTAGGGTTTAGGGTTTGCGGGGGTGGTTGGGTGGTTGGGTAAATAGATAGTTAGATAGATAGATGGATAGATACACAGCTGGACAGACAGATAGCTACGGACATAGACAGATAGATAGATAGACAGATAGATAGGTTCATATTAAACAGAAAGGAAGACAGAGGGCTCGATCGATCATAGAAAGGTAGATGTATATAAGCGAGATACCCACGCACACGCAACATCTGGCATCCCAAACCCTAAGCCCTTAACCCTAAACCCCTAGACCCCTGAGCCCAATAAACCCGAAACCCCTGAACCTTAAACCCCTGAACCCTAAACCCCTAAACCCTAAACCCCTGAACCCTTATCCCTAAATCCTGAACTTTAAAACTGCGTCAACCCCCGAAACCAGGCCTGTGCTGAAGGGCCCATCATCCTCAGGTCCTGCATTCGAGGGTCCGAGGTTCAGTTTTTTTTTGCTTTTTGTTTTCCTGTTTTTTTTGTTTTTTGTTTTCCTGTTTTTTTTTTGTTTTTTGGGGTGTTTTTTTTGGGTGTTTTTTGTGGTCTAGGGGTTTAGGCGTCGGGTTCAGGGTTTGGTCATCGCACTGCTTCTGGTTTCGGGTGTCTGGCACGTGCCCTGGAAGGCGTACCCTCTGCCCTTCTAACCCAGGCCCTATTCAGTTTTGGGGTTTAGGGTTTAG